GAAGGCAGCCCATCTAGGAGAAGGAAAACTCTGATCCCAAATCCCCATGCCGTGAGGAGGAGGAGGAGGAGGCGCTGCCATCACCTATGCAGCGAGGGAGCAGGCTGGGCAGGTGGGATTTGTCAGCCTTGGAAGGCAGCCCATCTAGGAGAAGGAAAACTCCAGTTCCAAACCTCCACTACCTTTTGGCTATATCCACTTATGGAAAAGGCTTCAGGAGTTAACCCTGAGGCAAAATCCGGAGCCGGAGTCCCGGAGGCAGTTTGTGTTATTCTGGCCGGTCCTGCGACATCGCTGGAACCAATTGTATTGGCTCTTGCCTTTCCATTGGACTATTTCGGCGATGTGGAGAGGGGGGATTTGCTGCTTGGGTGGCAGCCTATCCTCCATGTTATTTTACCCAGGCTTTGTGGAGAGGACACTCCAGCTTCGCATACAGCATCAAAGTCCTCCATACAGAGCATGTTACCATAGTCTCTCGAGACTGAAGGATGCTGTGATAGACAGGCCATAAACCACACCTGTCCATCACAATGGAACACTGATTTAGTAACCAATGGTTGAGCAGGAGGGCTAACCAAGGAAATATAAGAAGAGAATGGAGGACAGTTAGAGTTTCAGTTAGAGTTAGGGATTTCAGTTAGGGATGAGTTAGAGTTAGGACCAGGGTTGTGTTAGAGTTAGGACTTCAGTTAGTCAGGAGTTAGAGAAAGAGCTAGATAGTCAAAGTTAGAAATGAGAATAGTAACAAGTAAATACACAAGTTGGTTAAATGGCAAATAAGTAAACAAAAGAAGACATTTCAATGATTGTGATTCTGAGTAAATAAACAAAGAACATCTGTAGCTTTAATAAAAACTTTCAATGACTGGCAGCCAGTGTTTGAGTGAAATAATTTACATTGTGGATAAAAGAAATCTACTGGTGGCAGCGAAAAACAATGAAAATTAAATGTCATGCCCGAAAGGGAACCTGGGTGTGTAGAAGAACAAACAGGGGAACTGGGTGTGTGTGTTACATAAATTGGTGGCAGCGGTGGGATACGAATGAAAAAAATCCAGTGAGCCAAAAATAAAGAGAAGTTTTCTGAGTCTGGGATTCAAAGGGAAGGAATACCAGAAAGCCTAAAGAAAAGGAAAATCTCTTAGTCTAGGAGACTTGTTTGGATAGTAAATAGTCAAGGTGGAGGAGTAGGAAACCCTAAAGCTCGGTGTGACTAGCTTGGTAGGGACTCCTGAGTGTGGAAAGACAAAGGCAGGAAAAGGACTCTGAGGAGATTTCTGTAATTAAAAGTTTACCTCAAGCTGAGAGTGTAAGGACCAAGAGGGCTAGCTTTAGATTGGTAGCCAGTGTTTGAGTGAAACAATTTACACTGTGGATAAAGGAAATCCACTCGTGGCAGTGAAAAAGAGTGAAAATTAAATATCATGCCCGAAAGGGAACCTGGGTGTGTAGAAGAACAAAAAGGAGAACTGTGCGTGTGACAGATGCCTATGAATCCCCCAGCATAATCAATTTCATTGAACTTCTGCTGACAATAAGACAGGAATGTGAAATGAAATGTTTTGCTACATCCTTATTTTAAGAAAGGGGCTAACAAGAGAGGATTATCCCAAATGTTCTTGATGCGCCTAGAGCACAGATTTTTACACACAGACCCTACACATCAATCTGCATTCCAAATGGGGTTCCCATACTGTAACTGCTTCCAAACCTGTCAGACAGAGAATGGAGAAACTGTTTTTCCTCTCTGGCAATAGCCCAGGACCTTCTGTAAATTCCCTTCTAACAACCACCATCTTAGGAAGTGGGGAGAGGGTCAAAATCCTTCTCTCCAGTATTTGAATCCCAGTTTAGCTTTTGCATTGCAAGTCAGCTAAACTAGGGAGAAACACACCTGCCAGTGGAAAGGCAAAGCATACAGAAGCTCCTCCATTTTTATGTAAAATTAGATACCCTGCCCGGCCTTCTGCTTTATATATGAAACTATTGGAACTCTTGCATCTAATGTGGCCCGGATGCCGACAAAGGATGGAGAACACAGCCAGCACTTACCCTATTGTCATAGACCTTCTTGAGGGCTTCATAGCGGATGGACCCCTGGAAGATGACTCCTTGGAAGGTGTTACTTTTGTCACTGGCCACTAGCTCCACACAAACCATCTCACCTTCCCCTACAGTCATGTCACTGAATACCTAATGTAAAATACAAAGAAATCAAATGCTTTGAAGAAAGAAAACCATACCAAACAAAAAAAAATACTTGTAGAACTAACGCTCATTTGCCACTGGCTATAGTGAGACACCAATTTTCAGATACAAATTGGGTTTTCAAGGAATGTGATACAGAAAGTTGTCTTTTAAAAGCTAGTTTGCAACACTGGCCTTGGAACACTGGATCCTACAGCAGTTAAAAATATATATTAAGAGAAAATAATGTAACACATAACATTATTGAGCAACAACCTTGATTTTTGATACCATGCAGAAGAATTTATATATACAGTTTACTTAATTTGGTAATAGTGGTTTATTTAAAACTTCACACTTGCTTTCCAGCACTCTGTACATGCCAATCCGCAAGCAACTAGCAAATACAGCAAAAGTTCCTGTATCTTTACAGGTGCTGGTCTTAGAAGATCAATGAAACTAAGGAGATGTGGGCTGATGGAGGCGTGGATGGCAGAGCACAAGAAGGCCTGCATCATCTACTCTGAGGTGTGTTTTTTAGGACAAGTTTATGTAAGTATAACAAACAAATAAATATTTTGCCTGAAGTATGGAAGTTCTGAGGCCATATAATTTAAAGAAAACTGGACTGTGAACTGAAACCAAACCACTCGGAGAAGCACTACAAGAACTGGAGCTGAAGAGAGGCTAAAGAAATGGCATCTGCAGCAATGAAGGACCTACCTCTTCAAAGTTGTCAATCATGAAAAATATGTTTGGATAGCTGATTTTTGATTCCTCCCCTTTGCTGTCCATAGGATGCTTACTTGGAGATGCAAAGACTTGCTGGAAGAAAACATTTAAAAGCCATTATATAGCTTGCTGCTTGGACAGGGACATGGATGCTGAGAAGGAATCAGAAGGAAAAAGGAGATATGAAGATGACTGGCAAGCCTTAGGCAAAGGGAAGGGGACGCATTCCCCCTCTTTCCTCCAAAGGAAAGGAACTGAATGCATGGGAGGCGAGGTAGAAGCTTTACTTTCTTCTCTGACTCCAATTTTAAACCAAGCTGAACTTTTAGGGATGTAACATTTGCTTTGTTGTGAAGTAGCCACCGCAACCTCTCCTCAATTCATTCATCTTTCAAGCACTGCCTGAATGAAATTTGGAACCACCGCTAGTTAGAACTGACTTAAGACCTACATTTCCCAGCTGAAACTAAAACAATAAAGAGGACACAAAGATGAACTTTTCAGGATGAAATGGAAACAACAAAGGGGAGCACTCTTTGTTCTGGTACTGTGAGTGAAAAGAGAATGAAAAAGAGCGGAAGTAGAAGAAGCTGCCCTTCGACCTCCACAGTGAGGGGCACTTCTCACCTGAGATTTCTTCTTATGAATGTGGATATCCCCTCCATCTGAACGAGTGCACACAGCACATGTCACTACGTAATCCAGCTGAAACAAAACCAGCATAACAGAAAGGAATCATTAATCGTCACCACGCATAAACAAAGCAAAATTTAAAAGCTTTTTCAAGCAAGCTTTTACTCTTCTGCCCACCAGGGGAAAAGGTGATCAACAAGATTTGTAAAGACCTTGAAGCTATTTTTAAAGGCAAGTCATGCTATAATTATTCCCTTCACTTTCCAACTAAGTGGCTAAGTAGTTATCCTTAAAGCAGTGTGCAGTTGGTATTCAAAGTCATTCTATTCTATCTTCAAACCATTAACATTCTGACAATTTTTTAAAAATGTATTATGTTAATGATTAAATGACCATGATATTAACGTTTCTCAATAAAAATTAACATTTCACATTAATTTAATTTATTACTTTTGACAGAGATGCCCATTTTTGATTGTTTTAACTGGTTCTTTAATTTTAATCATACTGTGTTAACTATGATTCATGGCACAAATGAATTCCATACATTTTTCTTGGCATCTGAACAGTAACAATTTATTTCTCTTCAAGGACTTAATGCCCATATATTAAGACTAGTCCTAATGTTTGCAGCTGTGCCCACTTAGCCCTTTCCACTACCCCAAGACTTTTACCAACATGGGTTTGACCCAACTCCGGGAGGCAGTGGAAGACAGGAGGGCCTGGCGTGCTCTCGTCCATGGGGTCACAAAGAGTCGGACACGACTGAACGACTAAACAACAACAACAAGACTTTAAAGTCATAGGCCACGTCATATACAAAACTTGTGACCATGTGCTTTTGCTTCTCTGCCACTGTTCTTCCCCTTTTGAAGCTGCTGGCCTTTTCTCTCTCCATATTCCTCTTCACACTCCTTTAAACTCTGCCTACAGGATGCATTCTCCTGCCTCCACCTCTTCCTGTTAATCCTGTTTCTCCTACCTCTCCTTTTTAGGTGTTTTCTCTCCCTTGCCCCTCTATCCATGCAGAACTGCTTGGCCAGAGAAAAGTGGCCCACTCTCCCACTCAACCCATTGCTTCGGCATTGCCACAACCACAACGCCCATGTATTACAACATAGGCAGCCAAACATGCTTCCTCTTAAAGGATGCAAAAACAAAGGAAACAGGAAGGTACATCCACAACTCTGAAAAGAAAAAAAGTAATTAAAAAAGACAAATTGAATACTTAGGTTGCCTTAATTAAGTCACCTGTTTTTCAACAGAGAAACGGGCATTCTACGAAACTCAACACACATGCTTTTATAAGACAGTGATACAAGGATGAGGCAGTTTCTTTTAACTAAATCCTAAATTACCTTTTATTATTTCATGGAAATGTCAGCTTTAAATATTTTCTGCCTAGTATTCTGTTACAGGATAATAACTTCCTGCAACAAAGAAGCAGCACTGTACTGTTGAAATAACATTCATATCTGCATGCGCACACGCAGGCACACACAACACAACACCGAGGAATATCTCCTGTCAGGCCTCTGGAGTGTAATGGGCAGGGTGTCATAAAAACACAGTGATGTCTGGCACCTTAAATGAGTCAGACTGCAGATAAGTCTAGGGGCGGGGAAGGAGGGAAAGGACAATCTCATTGTACTCTAGCCTAACTTGGACCAATTTAAGGAACATTTCTACAGGCAGGGGCAGCTAGACTGACATACCAGGAAGCCCATAAACATCCAGCAAATGTCTTCTAGGGGTGGCAGCTCAATTTGGGAATATGAATATTCTGACCCAGCCATGTTTCCAACGGTTGTGTCAACTGCAATGCATGTCAGACAGCACGAGTACCTCCATACATAATGTCAATGTATGAGTTAAGTAACCTACACAGATACCTTGTGTTTGCATATGCAGGGAATTGAACTTGAGGGCATGTGTGCATACTTTGTGGATAAGCTCACAAAGGAAGAGAACAACTAAATGCAGTTCTGTGTTCTTCCTTCAATGCAGGTTACATGTGACTCGCCACACTGTGTGCCAGTTGTGTGCAACTTGAAAACAAAGTAGGAGCTCTTTCATTAGTTGACAGTCATATGCTGCACAGCCATCCTGGGTCTATGTTTCCTGTTGGCAATATATAAAAGGAAGCCTCGCTTACTGGAGCAGAAGTCCTTATTACTCATGTATCAATGCTAGTGCTGTGAAGAAATCAAGAAAGTGAGGAAACACGGATTATGAAACTCCCTAGATTCTGCCTGAGGAATTCTGGGAGAGTTCTGGGAACTGGAGTCCCTGCCCCCAAACGGCACCTCCCTTCCCGCTGGGCAAGCGGAGCTACACAACAGAACACTGGCCATTGCGACACAGTCCATTTCGTGTTGAATCTGCATAGACCTAGACGCTATTGTCCATGTTCCCTGATCTATTTCTGAAAAGAAGAAGAAGAGTTCTGTTGCACAGAAGCTAGTTTGAAGCAAGAAGATCTCAAGTGAGTGTGGGCTGTGTCTCAGTGACAAAACTGCGTCACTGTGATTGCTACCACAACTCAAGAGGAAGCATACCAATCCTGTGGAAAAACGTAATGTGATCATTCCACAGCTGCATGAATTGGGATTCCAAATTCAGAATACTCATGATGAAGTCCAGTCTCCTGTGAATGTTGAACTTGTGAGCTTTTGTGCTGCTATATCCTATAACCCACAGAAAATAACCTTCCATAAGTCAATGTATTATTGAAGGGAATACTTGAACATCTTTCTAGGAGGGAGGGGAGGATGGGCACCAGTCTCTAACATCATTTGGTGAAGCTCAGAGCCTGTTACCTTTTTCTGAAAGCTCCCAGGTAACACAGTCAGCTTGAAATACAATACCATACCTTAAACAAAGGGGAGGGTAATTCTCAAAACTTATTCCTTATACCTTAGTGCATACCAACAGTCATACCTAAGATCTCTACCAGTTTGCTTAAAATTCATTCCAGTGTAACAACTATCAAAAATCTGCATAAGGTTGAAGCAGACAAGACAGCCACTCCACATGTTACTGGCTAAGACACAGTAAGATGAGACCTGAGGTGCTGAAGAGCAACTGCCACTGGTACCAGTGTTTGAACATTTTATTTTCTGAACTACAAGTCCCAGAATCTCCAGCAAGCACTAACTACTACTGCCTGTGCTGTCTAGAGAATTGTGGAGCTTGAAGTCCCAAAATTAACATTTCTTGTCTTCGGCTGGTGCTAATGCAAGGCATTTAGGGCATACAGAACATTACCAAAGTATGAAGAGAGGGGCACAAGACTCTTTTTAACATCATACATTGGTTAGTCATCTTCCCTTTCCTGAACAAAGGCCAACTCAACCCCCTGTACTAATACTAATACAGCATCTGAAGAACAGAAAGCCTTGTGTTACCTTTTGCAGAATTAGGTTCAAGCAGACACTCTCCTCCCAGTCAATATCTGGATCACCCAGGCCAGGCAGCTTCTTAGAATCCCTGCGGTACACTTCAACATCAACCTGCTGAGATAAAACCCAAGGCCTTCAGAGTAAATGCCAAACAGTAACAGATTTTCGTCCCTTCTTCTTCTACTATGAGTTATGTTGCTTGTTCTCCATCTTGTGGAAGTTTTTCTAATTTTCTAATTATGAGAATTTTAGGTGTGTGTGTGTGTGTGTGTGTGTGTGTGAATATTCTTTCTTGCAACAAAATGAAACAAGCAGAGTTGCTGAACAAAGGAAAATATAGGTGTGTGTGTTTTGTGTTGTAAGCTGCCTAGAGTGGTCGCAATGACCAGGTAGGCGGGGTATAAATTGAATGAATGAATGAATGAATGAATGAATGAATGAATGAATGAATGAATAAATAAATAAATAAATAATAACAGCTATTATTTGGAGGCCTCCATGTTGCTTAACATGAGAGGAGACACAGCCCCTACCAACACAATCACAGTCCTATTATGGGGAGAAAACAAGTTGAGGGGAGAGAGGAAAAAGGTGACTCAGAGAAACAAGCATTCCAGGCTTCCAAAAAATTAAGTTAAGCCCCAGGAAAAAGAACTGACCTTTTACAGACACTCATTTTGACTGAGAGGATATGTAGCCAGGAGTAGTGATATCACTAAGTACAGTGGTGCCTTGCAAGACGAATGCCTCGGGGGACGAAAAACCCGCAGGACGATTGGTTTTTGTGATCACTATGTTGCCTCGCAAGACGGTTTCTTCTATGGCCATGCTTCGCAATTCTTTTTTCCCCCCAAGACCAATGCCTCGCAAGACAAATACATTTCATTCGTCTTGCAAGGTTTCCCATTTGCAGTTCATAAAATTTTCCTCATACAGTGGTACCTCGCAAGACGAATGTAATTCATCCGCGAGAAGCGCTGTCTTGTGGTTTTCCCATAAGGAACCTCGCAAGATGATTTTTTCTCAAGACAGCGCTTCACGAGGAATGAATTACATTCGTCTTGCAAGGCATGAGAAGCACTGTCTTGCAAGTTTCCCATAAGGAAACTCGCAAGATGATTTTTTTCTCAAGACAGCGCTTCTCGAGGAATGAATTACATTCGTCTTGCGAGGCACCACTGTATGAGGAAAATTTTATGAACTACAAATTCTTCGTCCCTTAGGTTTTAATCCAATCAACTCTCAGGTCTTCTCGTAAGCCCCACTTACCTTTAGTACTTCAAAAGAGGGAAGGGGAAATTTATTTTCCTATCAAGACACTGTCCTAGTAGTTCCTGGGTTTCCCCCACAAAGCTATTTGAAAATGTTTATTGTGCTTATTGATTAGATTTACTTTACTACCCTGTTTCCCCGAAAATAAGACCTAACCTGAAAATAAGCCCTAGAATGATTTTAATTTCAGCGCTGAAATTAAAAGACGCCTGCTTCTTGGGAGGAAAGCAATGACAAACATAGACAGCATCTTAAAAAGCAAAGGTTCACATAGTCAAAGCTATGGTATTTCCAATAGCGATGTAAGGAAGTGACCATAAAGAAGGCTGACTGCCGAAGAATTGATGCTTTAGAATTGTGGTGCTGGAGGAGGCTCTTGAGAGTCCCCTGGACTGCATGGAGAACAAACCTATCCATTTTGAAGGAAATCAACCCTTGATGCTCACTGGAAGGACAGATCCTGAAGCTGAGGCTCCAATACTTTGGCCAACTCATGAGAAGAGAAGACTCCCTGGAAAAGACCCTGATATTGGGAAAGTGTGAGGGCAAAAGGAGAAGGGGACGACAGAGGACAAGATGCTTGGACAGTGTTACCGAAGCTACCAATATGTATTTGACCAAACTCTGGGAGACAGTGGAAGACTGGAGGGCCTGGCATGCTCTGGTCCATGGGCTTACAAAGAGTCGGACACAACTTAACGACTAAACAACAACAACAATAATTTTTCAGGATGCTCGTAATACAAGCCCTACCCCAAAAATAAGCCCTAGTTAAGTGAAACCCCGCCCTCCACCATTGTGCATCATTATGCAGCAACCAGAATATGACATGACTGTGAAAAAAAATATCCCCTGAAAATAAGCCCTAATGCATTTTTGGGAGCAAAAATTAATATAAGACCCCGTCTTATTTTCAGGGAAACACGATATATTTCCTTTATTGTTGTTACATTATATTACTTACATTGTTAACTGGCCAAAGTAGTGCTTTGCACTACTCAAGCACTATAAAACTTCAATAAATAAATAAATAAATATGATACTTCCTGGACATCCTCAGCCTGTCTTAGGGTGCTGTCATACAACACCTTAAAGGACCATACACTATGTTACAGACAGTACATCATTAGTAGTTGAATTCACATCAATTTTCTAGAGACATAATTCCAGCAGATCTTGGTATTTGCACGATCATATTTGCAAATGAAGCCCGGGTTTACCTCCTAGTGCCCAATCACAAAACAAGCTCATATGCAAACAATGGGAGTCATACAAAGCTCCTGCTGTGCTAGTCAGACATCATTCACCACTTAAGCTACTCCTTTTTCTAATGGTATGCTATCTTATATTATATAATTTGACAGAGAGGGAGGGAGGGAGGGAGGGAAGGAAAGAAAGAAGGAAAGAAAGAAAGAAGGAAAGAAGGAAAGAAAGAAAGAAGGAAAGAAAGAAAGAAAGAAAGAAAGAAAGAAAGAAAGAAAGAAAGAAAGAAAGAAAGAAAGAAAGAAAGAAAGAAAGAAAGAAAACTAGTGTTCAACTACTGTTAAAACACACTGGTGATCTTAAGTGAAGGGGGAAAAGACAGAAACGAAAAGTTGAACAATTAACATCTGAAGAAATAGGTTGCAAATTTTCAATCCACAAAGACTCATGCTAAAATAAATCTGTTGGTCTTTAAAATGTCACAAGATTCTTTCTTTTGAGCTACACTGAAACAGACTAACAGTTATGTCTTTGAAAATCAGATCAGAACACATGTTCCCACTTCTGAAAATCTTCCCTCCCTTCTTACTCAGCACACCCATCCAAGCTGCTATTTACGAATTTAAAGATGTCTATCCTTCTCCCGGTCAAGTTGAATTGAGATCAAATTGTTAGGGCATACTTTCAAGACAAATCAAAGACTCAACAGATGGAGTGATCATATGCAAGCTGCATGGCTCAATGCAGAGCTCAAGGTTAAATAGTAATGGCTTATCACATGAAAGGTGCTGGGATTCTCGTATGTCCAGCACCCCCTCATACCTCTAGGAGTTCTTCTCCTATGCTAGATGAAAGAAGACAATGTATAGTATTTCAAAATTAACACAAGATGTCTTTCCAAAGGTTCTTCCTTTAATATTATGGCTTGCTTTTTAGCTTTCCTTCCAAATGCCAAGAAGGTCAGCTCAAGAGATTTTGCTGTCTAAGGCACATCCCAACACTAAGTCAAGGCACACAGTGGTACCAGAGGCAGAAGATCCCACAAATTCAGTGTTAGAGGTTGTTTAGTTAGAAAACAAGCTAATTAATGGTGGACATGGCAGAGATGTATAAAATGATAAATGGTGTGGAAAACATGCTAACAGCTGGGGCCATCCTATAAAATTAATTGGTGCAGGCAAAAGGAAGGACCTATTCATATTGCACAGATTTATACTGTCGAATCTGCTAACAATATATGTCATGATGGCCACTCTTTGAATAGTATACTAATCTGAATAGTATTTTTATAGACGATTTTGGTAATTCATGTGGCTATTAGGCATGATAGCTCTGTAGGGTCAAATATGAGCAGCAACACACCTCTCAATGCCTAAGATACAGTGAGCAAGACAGCATTGCTGTGTTCATCCCAAGACTTCTGATTTGGCCACTATGGAATGAGATTTATGGGCCAAATAGGCCTTTCATCTGACCAGCACGGCTCTTCTTGAGATCTGTATACGCCTTCCTGAAACCCAATGCCCAACAGATGTAGACTGAACTGAAATCATTCTTGGAAAATGACCATGTAGTGGATTGGACTGAAACAAGTTGTAGTGCAAAACATCTGGGGCCATCTATATTGTAACCTCAAGATGCAACCTAATGGTTTCATTATCCTCTTGCAATTTCAGTGCAAAGCACCAGAGGGAACCAGTCACTTATCAGTTCTCGTACATGTCTCTGGTCCACAGGGAACGAAATACTTGATTCTGGTCATTCTTGTAGCACCACCACGGGACTCAGCCAGAGTGGGTTTAGACAGCAGTTGGAGCAGAAAAATAGTTAAGAGTATGTTCATGATTATCTTTCTCATAGTTATACCAACATGCAAGGTACTAACAAGACAACAGGTTGCTGCCCGAAGGACCTGACAAACTGGAATGAGGTTGGGAAGTAATGTGCCCGCTAGCTGGTGATAGCCCGCAGATCTCATCACCCTCGCTACTGCCATTGCTGGCAGGGGTTGATGGGACTTGGAGTCTACCAACATCCAGAGAGCCACATATTCCCACTCTTAGATGATACAATTTAAAAACAAAGTGGCAGATAGATTTTTCAAATATAGAAAGAGGGAAGCATGGCTGTCTGGATTTTTCCAGAAGGGAAAGACAAAGTTATATTTATTCTGGACTGCCATAATTTGGACACATCCTATTATGGCAGAGGAGATATTTCTCTGTAGCTTAAAATAATAAAAACACATCTAGGATTTAAGGGGCAAGAGCTCCTCCCCCCTCACCCCAGCCTTCCTGCAGACATCCATGGGTAGAAAGAAGGCTATGGCTTCAGGCATACTATTCTCATTTCATATGAAAAGCTGGCATAGCACCAGTGGGTCTGGGTGTTCAAGACAGAGAGCTTCAAAACTTCCATTGGTTCAAACAGGCCTTCTCTAGTACAATACACTATCCTAAGCAACAAAATTTTGTCCATTACTTGGTAGATTGGTAAGAGAGTAATAACCAAATAATAACAAAGTGTTTATGGCGCTATAACAAAGACAGAACATTAACAGTAATAATAAATAAGGTCATAAATAGAGATGGAGATGAAGCCAAAAACAAACCAGGAAATTCATGAAAAATCACCAGTCT